CAGGCTACTCCAATGCCCACCACTGTCATTGGCTTCTCTCACCAAAACATCCTCCCAGCATCATCCGAGAACTGCTATGCCCTTCCATTTGATGTTTCCCAAGGCTCCTTGTCCCCACAAAATCTCTCTACTTGGACAGATCACTTGAAACTCCTGTCTCTTTCACCCGTGTGCCTTCTACACTAAATGGCTTGAAGTGCACCAGACAGGACAGCTCTCTCAGCCTTCTTCTCCCCAGTTACCCAGGTGAGCAGAGCCCTGCATCCAGGCAAACCCAGTGAGGCTCTTGGAAGTCACTGGAGGGGCTGTATAGGGGCCACCTGCATGACTCCCCTGCTTCCAACAGCAAACCTAGGGGCAACTGCCTCTCCATTTCCCAGGCGAGCTCAGGCCCTATCTCAACTAGAGCGCCAGGCTCGCACCTGGACGCCCTCCACAGTCACAGTTCAGTCCCCATGTTGGATGGTTCACAACCACCCGCAACTCCACCTCCAGGGGCTCCAAAGCCCTCTTCTGGCATTCATAGACACTTGTATGTGGACACATGCGCACGCGCGCACACACAACACACACACACACACACACACACAAATAAATAATAAATCTTTTTCAAAAGGTAGATGGCGCCTAAAGGATATGTGAGGTTGGCCTCTGGCCTCTCTTTATATATACACATGTACACATACACGCACACAGAGGAACATGAATACACACATGGAAAAAATAAGACATACATGTTGCCTAACACTAACGATTAGTTCCATGAAGTGTGGAACCAAGCAGATTCTGTTTGGCTGTTTCAAACCCTGTTAATGATACTTGAGGTAACCTCCCAGCACTCCCATGGGTCCCCACCAGTTTGAAAAACTGCCCAAGCCAGCTGGGAAAGGATCAGCTGGGTTCCATGAAACAGGGTAGGGGCAGGGCAGTATTGTAAAGGCTAACTTGTCACCTACTTTGTTTCTTAAACATGCAATAAGGATGAACTGTTACAAAATAACACCATGATGCACAAATAAATGCATGCACTATCAGCTACAAAGTCACCAGGCATGGTGCTGTGCTCAGAGCCTCCGGTGACAGGAAGTAGGGCAGGTGGAGCCTAAGACTTAGAGTGGCTTTGTCAGTGCTATCAATGCCCCTAAACCTCAACATGTGACTGTGTTTCCTCTGACAAACCCCAGCCTGGAGCGTGTGTCAGCCTGAATTGAGAAGCAAGGCACCTGTGTGCAGTCTGTCCTGCTCAACCCTGCCAGGCTGCCCACGTTTAAATCCTTACTCAGACAGTTGCCTTTGACAGTCCTGAATGAATGAGGGTCCTGATGCTTAAGTTTTCTAAACCTTGGGCCTCACCTAGGATTGTTTCATGGTTAACAAAGCAATCTGAATCTAGATGTGTTCTTGGACTCTGGTTCTGCTGTCCCTTCTGAGTCTCATTTTGCAGACTGCATTTCCTCATTTTCCTTGTCCCTCCCGCCTTCTCCTGGTCCCCTCCATGGACAAAACATACCTAGCTAAATATCTCTCTCTCTCTCTCTCTCTCTCTCTCTCTCTCTCTCTCTCTCTCTCTCTCTCTCTCTCTCTCTCTCTCTCTCAAGATATGTAGCTCAGACTGGCCTCAAACAATCCTCCAGCCTCTACCAATAGAATCCATTTACTTATTTTAAAACAAACATATTTATCTAATGTACTGTGGGTCAAAGGACAACTTGTGACTGTCTGTTGTCTCCTATCATGAGGTTTCCAGGGATTATATGTTGGTCTCTTCCAAAACTGGGTTTGCAGGCATCAGTCACGCCCACCCAGCCTTCACCTGTGTCCTGGCGATCAGAACTCCGGTGTCCATGCTTGGACAAGCACTGAGCCATCTCCTCAGAGCCCGATGCCTTGCTTCCCCACCCCCACCTCCCAAGAATGACAGCCGTGCACCACAGCGTTGACACTATGACTGGCATAAGCAAAACCGAGCTCTTCACGGTCAAGCAGCTCTTTTCTGGGTTCCTTGTGGAAGGCTTTCCCCACCCTCGAGGAGCGAAGACCAGAAACCAGAGCAGAGGCCTCCTGCTGCCTCACCTTCCCTGTGGCTCAGTGCGCTCAGGGCCTGCCCTGCTCTGTTCCGGGCAAAGACAGGCTCCCAGAGCCCAGTGCTCACTGTTTCTTATCTCCTCTTGCCTCTCCAGATGCATGTCTGGTACATGCTTCACCCTCAGCCTCTGCTTCTGCAGCAGAACTGGGATCGGGACTCCTTAACAGGTCCCCACCTTGAGTGGAATCAGAAAGCGGGCCAGGCCCCTCCTCTCAATCTCCATCTTCTCAGGCCTCCCTGCCCCTGCCTCCTCTGTGCCCAGCATCCCTCTCTATGAGACATGGCTTATGAGATATGGGGTCAGGTCAGCAGAGGCAGGACGGGTGACATCTTGGATGGTGGGCAGCATGGCAGCTCTCCCAGGTGGTCCATCTGCTGCTGCAGAGAACCTAGAAGGTTCTCTGTGGCAGACAGGCAGGCAGGGAAATCCAAATGACTGCAGGGGACTGTACAGCCAGGGTCCTGTCAGCACCTCCTAATGGCGGGGATTTGGTTGTTTGCTAGAGCGAGGTGGGAAGGTGATGGAGAGCTGTCTGGGGCAGGGCTTGGGTAGTGCCAAGGAAAGGCAGAGTTGTCAGCTGCCTATGGCTGGCTCTGGTCTGGGGAGAGTTGAGTGTGAGGACAGAGAATGGTGGATGCAACCCTCAGTAAGAAACCAGGCTTGAGGGGCTCAGGGAAGGCGGCAGATGAGGGGATAGAAAGAGCCTGATCCGGGGATGGAGAGACGGCTCAGCAATTAAGAGCACTGGGCACTCTTCCAGGGGACCTGGGTTTGAGTCCCAGCACTACACCGGGGCTAACAAGAAGTCTGTAACTCAGTTCCAAGGGGGATATGACACCCTCTTCAGGCCTCGGCAAGTATGGCACACACTTGAAACAGGAAGGATGCGAGGAGACAAAAGCCAGCCAGCCAGCCTACTCGGGAGGGGACAGGACAGTGGTCTGGGAGATTGGATGGCCAGGTGGCTGAGGCCTTGGAGAGTTGGAGAGGACATCTCTACACAGGCAGAAAGTGAAGATTCTGGAATTGCTTTGGAGAAGGGACAGTCCTTGAGGAAATGAGGTTGGATGGCTGAGGAGTCCCTGAGTATGTGGGACAAGGAGTCACAAGGCCAGGCTGTTTCCAGGCTAGTCTCATTGGCTGACAACATGCTTATATCTGAGGGATGCTACCCACAGTACCATACCTGGTACCCCAGATATGGCCTGGATCACAGCCCCTGAATCCCTCAGCATAGTTTCTGCTATGAATGACAGAGGGGAATGTTGTTACAAGTGCATGAGAATTTGATGAGACTTTGCCACCAGCATCCTTCCTATGGGCCCAAGGCCAGGCCCACAGCTTCCTTCCTATGGCGTCATGGTTTCTTTGGAAAGACATGGCTTCCCTAAACTTCAAGTAGAAGGGTGAGAGCCGGAGTTGGAGCTGGAGGAAGGCTGGATTCCTCATGAGTGAAGGCCCTCCTGAGGCCACTATTCAATACCCACCCCCTGCCCAGTGATCAGTAGCTTGGCTTTTGGTTTCTAACCTTCTTTGACTGAGCTGGAGTCCTTGACCTAGGACCACAGACCTAGGTTAGAGGCCACACATCGCAGGGCAAAAGTGGTTACACCTGTCCTTTCTCAAGAGTCGCCGGATGTTGCTAAAGTGTCCAAAAGAAGAACCTTGTAGTTACTGTCTTCCCTGATAGCTGTCCCCACCCCTGTCCCACACCCCAACCTGTTGCCTCACAAAGGGTCAAAACAGAAAAGATAAAATCCATCCCACTCACAGTTCCAAAGAAACAGTGTCAAAGATGTGACTTGAGGAGTCTGCCCCTCCTGGTCCTGTCTCTCATCATCAATATGACCCCCAAGGAGACTTTAAATAGCTATTTTTATAATTGTTTTTAATTTGTTATTGTCATTTTATGTGTATGGATGTATTACCTGCATGTATGTCTGTGAACCAGGTGTATGCTTGGTGCCCACAGAGGTCAGTAGAAGATGTTGGATGCCCTGAAGCTGGAGTTACAGATAATTGTGAGCTTCCGTGTGGGTGCTGGGAATCGAACTTAGGTCCTCTGCAAGCGCAGCCAGTGTTCTTAACCACTGATACCTCTCTTCAGCCCCCCAAATAAATATTTCTAAAGTCTTCTGTGATGCATGAATGAGTGGATAGGTACATGGCACTGACCCGTGAGTCACAAGCCTTCAAAACGTGTCACAAGCCTTCAAAACGTGTCACTGTGGGCTCCTGTCACTAAGAGACCCCACTCTACCACAGACAGGGCAGTCACGTTCTCAAGACATGACACTTGGACTTCGGTACTGCAGGTCCCGTACCCCACACTGCTGTCTTCACTTTGTACCCACTCAAAGCCCAGAGTGTAGCACAGATATCAACCTGAATGGAACAGACTGAGAATAGAAGGCACTAGACACACACACCACTGCAGAAACTCATGGGGCAAAAACGCCGGAATTCAAGTTTACTAGACTTCCTTATTTTCATTTATTTATTCATGTCGTAGAGATGTCATGACTCATGTAGTCCAGGATAGCCTCAAACTCAGTCCAGATGACCCTGAATGTCTCCACGTCTCTGGGACTAGGATTATTGGTGTGCACCACCACACCCAGTTTGATGCAGGGCTGGGGACCTAACTCATGTGTTCTGGACAAGCCCTCTCCCAACTCAGCCACATCCTCAGTGCCTGAACGTGTTTCCCCCCTCAGTTTTGGAAATCCCCAGTGTCTCAAAATCACAGTCCCCAGAGAAGAATGTATAGGTAAACACGAGACTCGCCTTGGCCACAAGCGGTGGTGGATGGGAAATCACCAGCAAGGGGAACTCTTCCCCACCCTGGTTCTGCAATCTTGGCAGGTTCAGCTCTTGATCCTCTGCATAGGGTGGGTTGTGTAAGATGCCAGCTGTTGAAAGACTCCGGGTCAAGACCCCTCCTCTAAGACTCTGTGACCTTGGATGAGGTGCTTTGAATATATGGGTTGCCCTGCCTCCATTGGAAACCAAGAGTGACCTTTTATCATCTGTGCCATGAGTTTCTATTCTCTCTCACTGCCTGCTCCATGTCACCTGGAAAGGACTTCATGGAACAGATGGCAAAAACGGTTCAACTCCCCTGGAGCTTAGGCTGAAATGTGGATAGATAAGGCCTTGCTTCTCATTGGCTCCTGGGGAGCCGTCTTCAGAGGATCAGGAGGTCTTTGGAATTCCTTTTAATGTTTGGCCCTGGGGTGAAGGAGAAAAGGCTGGAAGTTAGAAATAGGAGTGACTCTTGCACAGGACTGCTTGGCCCTCCCAAGACTGAGCTGAGCCATCCTGCACACTGAGAACCCCAGAAGTGGGTCCCTGTCCTCTGGTGACATCTGAGGTATGGACACTCCTAAGACAGGACCCAAGTATGTATAAACCTGTCCAGAAGGGCCCTATCTAGGAGGATCCTGTCCATGGGAGACGGCTGTCCAGGGGGGCCATGTCCATGGGGACTGTTCAGGGAGCCTGCTGGGAACGCTGTTGGGGCCTGCCAGGGACGCTGGTCCCTTCCATGCATGATCTCAACTAGGGGGGTGCTTTTCCTAGGCCACAGTCAGAGCTCTGCAGGGCAGATAAGCTGGAGGGGCCTCAGTACTCTGACAGGCTTACTACACTCCACAGAGAAGTGTCCAGTGGGGGGGGGCTATGCAGCCACAGTCTCTCTGCCCCACCAGCACCCAGTGAGAGGACACAAATGCCAGTTTACTCCGGCAGTGCTCCCAAGCTCATTCTAGAAGGGCTGCCTCCCGTTTCTTCTGTGCCTCCTCCTGGGGTCAGACCCCGAGGTCTCTAAAGCCCATCCAGTCAGTCCTGTCCCTCACTGCTCAGACCACTGTGGGAAAGTCACAGGCAGATGTGGCCTCCTCCCTACGATGAGAATAGCAGGTCCCATGACAACCCTGAGGGAAGAAGCTGTGACATCACGGGAACACCTGGCCAAGCCTAAAGCTTGTCATGATGTTAACAGAGAGCTGCAGAATCCTCCCCAATTAGACCAAAAGCAGGTCGCAGGAGAAAACAAACACCATCAGCACCCAGGTCCCAGGCAGGATCACCAAAGCCAGTGCTCAGAATGGCCTGGGGCTGTTGGAGGAGCCCTCCTCTCACTGCTATGGGATGACCACCAGGGTGGAAGTCACGTGGCAGTTTAGGGCAGTCAGAATACAGGCTCTGTCTCTCTGTTCCCTCTCCACAAGGCGGGATTATTTCTCGGGTTTTCACCACACTGAGCTGGTTGATATGTTTCTGTCCTGTCCCCAGGTATACGTGAACTTCAGGAAGCACCATCTCTCCTTCCTTGATTTTCCTGGAGGTGGGTCTTGATCCCCCTGCTTATGGGGAGGGCATGAGGGAGGAAGAATGGAGGGGATATCCAGAGGCTGGACAAGCCCTGAGCTCAGGGAGGCGGGGCTCCAGTCTGAGCCCTGAGATGGGACCACTTTTAGGGCACCCCCTTCCTCCAGCATCCTGCCCATGTTTTCTGGGCAGTGCCAGCAACCTCCTGGATTCAGGGGACCCTTGTAGTGACGGGTCCAGTCATAGCCAAGTGGTGTCATCAGGCAGCAGGAAGCTACCGTCAGGGCTGAAGTCAGTCCAGGGGTGTTCTAGTCACCCTGGGTGGGGTGTTCTCACCAGGCCAAGTTCAACATCAAACAGTGTGTGCTGCTGGCCCAGGACATCATGAAGTACCACAGCTGTCCTCTGGTCCCTGCACCAGCCTGAATTTACTTCTGTTGAACAGATGGAGACTTGAGCGCTCAAATGATGGGGGAGCTGAAGCCGGGAGGAGCCTGCCTGAGGGACTCGGTGCAGCATGGCCACAGACTCTGGAGGCCCACCTGACTCGGGTGTCACCTTGAATTTGAACTAAAGACCTGGACAATAACGAACCCCTAGCCCTGGTAGATGGGGAATCAAAATCAGGAAAAGAGACTGGCCACCAAACTAGGAAAAATGTCTATAAACTCACCAGCAAAGAAGGGCTTCCTAACAGGGCTGGGCCTGAGTTCTCATAGACTAGTAGCTCAGGCCGGGGGCTGTCCCCTTGCTGAACAAACTGGGTGTGCACTTCCACCTTTATAACCCCAGCCTATAGGAGGTACAGGTAAGAGACTCAGAAATTCAAGGTCATTTTTGGCTACATAGGGACATTGGGACTAGCCTGGGTTACATGAGACCCTGCTAAAAATAAAAAGCTGACTGAGGGAGCCTAGAGTTATTGCTGCTGTTGTGTTTATCACCTTGTTAGAGTTCCCCCAAATACTGTTATTGGGAACATAAATCCAAACAGCTAGGGCTGGGGGTATAGCTCAGCAGAGAGCGTCCATTCCCTGTACCCCCCAAAATAAACAAAAACTCACTTGCCTATATATACACACATTCATAGAGACATGTCCATACCCTAAATACAGCATGGGGTCCCAGATCAGATCTGCAGGCAAGAGTTGAACATTTGTGGGAAAACTATAGAAGCTCAAATCAAGTCTGGCATTTCAAACCAGGTCAGCTAAACTGTTTGCTCAGACAGGCATGCCCTGGGTAGGAAGGACTACCTTAGAAGTCATGGGGAGTGGTAGGTGGGCACCCCCAAACCATCGTCACTACTTCCCTGTAGATCCACTTATTTCAAAATAAAAGATTTCTTTAAAACCTGTTTACAATCTTTTACTCAGAATTTCACTTCTAAGATTTTTATCTCAAAACTTACCAGAGCCTAAGACGTTCTTCAAGGAAGAAATAATAATAATAAATACAGGAAACCCGGTGTGTCAGAGCAGCAGGATTAACCACAGGCTTGAGACCAGGCTGGACTACTGAGACCCTGAGGCAAAGAGTAACAAAATGCAAAGGAACGATCTAGGTGCTCAAATGTAGCAGGCTGACTGTGTGGCACTGGAAGGAACCGCACTATAAAGTGTTTATAGGTGTGAAAAACGCTTCCAACAGAAAGTCAGAAGAGCCGGCCAGGACAGCTCAGCTGGAATTCAGCCTGAGGAAATGTCACAGTGCACCACCGAGTCAACACTTATCATCAACTTACTTTTTCCTGAGCATACTTATATATGCACTATGAGTTTCTAGACAAATGGGTGTTATGTTTATCAAGACGAAGGATTAGAAATTTCCTACCCATATCAGTTCCTCAAAAAGCAGTTTATAAAAATTACCATATGACCTAGCAACTTTACTGCTCAGTGTCCCCCTGAGAAGTGAAAACTCAAGTCCAAAATACAAGTGCACGTGTGTTCTCAGGGACCTCAGTCTTTCTATCTTGCTGGCCGGTAACACTATTAGCAATCACCGACGAATAGAGGCAATCTATCAGGATAATCAGTCCATGGACTAGTATGCAACTTGGTACAGGTTACAACATGGCTGGACCTTGAAGATTAAGACACCAGACACAAAGTTGCATAGTGTGTGATAACTTTTATACAAAATGTCGAGAAGGACCAGCAAAGCTGGGCGTTGGTGGCACACGCCTTTAATCCCAGCACTCGGGAGGCAGAGGCAGGCGGATCTCTGTGAGTTCGAGGCCAGCCTGGTCTACAGAGCGAGTTTCAGGACAGCCTCCAAAACAATACAGAGAAACCCTGTCTCCAAAAACCAAAAAAAAAAAAAAAAAAAAAAAAAAGGACCAGCAAGATTAAGAGCATTTGCAACCAAGCCTGATGACCTGAGTTCAAATCCCCAAGACCCAAGGAAACTAGCTTCTGCAAGCTGTCTTTTGACCTCTAGAGAAAAAAACACGGCAGAGTGGAGCACTGTGGAGTTGAGCACTGTGGAGGAGAACAGTGGAGGAGAGCACCGTGGAGTGGAGCACTATGGAGTGGAGCCCTGTGGAGGGGAGCATTCTGAAGGAAAGCATAGTGGAGGGGAGCACTCGGAGGGAAAACACAATGGCAGGTGTGAAACCCTTCTACAAACACAAATAAACAGACAGCAACATGTGCTTCTCATAATTTTCTTAATTAAAAAGCAAAAAGATTGTCTTCCTTATAAACGATGCTCAGACCTACAGGCTCTTTAATGGGACCTGAATGGATGCCTTTCCTCAGAAAGGGCATAGGAACAGAAAGGGCTGGCAGATACACCCAGGCCCAACTTGAGCCGTCCCTCCATGGCCTGGTGGGGTTGCAGGTCCTGGCTTTCATTTCCCAGTAGTAAGTGTCCCTGTAGCTCTGCCCTGAACCCAAGGCTAAGCAGTCCCCCGGGCTTGGCCAGGAGTAAAATATAAAGAAGAGCCTGTTTGAGAAAGGGAAAGTGGGAGGATGGTGAGGTTTCAGGCCAGGGTGAGTGGGTGCTGGGGCCCTGAATGGCAGCCTTGAATAAAGGTGTCACCCTGCTGGCCAGGGCCACCTGCGAGAGTCAGCATGTTGATGGGATGCCAAGGAATGTGAGGAGGAAGTGAGAATTACACACCTCAGCTCCCGCAGCCAAACAGCCGGGAAACCAGCACCCCAGGGGAGCAAGCACTGTGTTGGGTCACCCTGTGGTGGCCAGTGGCCTGCTCCGACCTCCTGGATTCATGCCTCAGCTTCTGCAAGGAGCTTTATGAGCTCCTGACTGGGTGGTCAGCACAGGACACAGACCAGCCGTAGATCGGAGGATGAAGCCTACAGGTCACACAGGAGGCCCGCTGCAGCCCTCCTATCCTTCAAGGCCCAGGTGCCCCTTTCCTGGCTTTCACAAGCCCCTTTCAACCCTGAGAGTTAGGTGGCTTCTAATAAATGTCCCTTCTTTGTCTTAAAACGGACCCAGGGCACAGAACATGATGGCATGGTCATTCCCCAAGTCTCCACACAAGAGGCACAGAATCTGTTGATCTCCCCACCTAGGGAGAGAATCATCCAGCCTGAAGCACCACAGTCAGAAGAAACCGCTTCAGGTCCAGCTTGACCTGGCTTCCAGAGTCAGTCTTTCCCCTTCCTTTCATCTTTATGTCCTTCCTTCCGCCCTCTCTTCCTTCTGGAGCCAGAGCTTGAGAGCAGAGAAGCTGCTTAACAAGCATCTCTGGTTCCTGGCTTAGGTGCCCAGGTAAAGCCTGTTTGTTTTGTTTTGTTTTGTTTTTTTGGTTTGCTTGTTTATCTGGGATTTGTTTTTGCTATTCATTCATTTTGTGTGTGAATGTGTGTTTCATATGGAAGTCAAAAGACAACTTGTAGGAGTCAGTACTCGCCACGTCGGTCCAGGTATCGAACTCAAGCTGTTATTGTTATTGGTTTGCTTGATCGGGGGTCTTACTATGTAGCTCTGACTAGCCTGTAAATCAGCGTGTAGATGAGGCTGGCCTCAGGCTTGCTCGTATCGGCCTGAGTGCTGGGTCATGGGTATACACATCTACATATATCTGGTCACCCGAGCCCGACCCTCCTTGCTGAGCCACCATCACTGTGGCCAGATGACCCTCCCTTGTGGCAGGGCAGGACCTTTGGTTGACAGGCACACCAGACACCTGGTAGCATCAAGCCTTTTGAGTTCTTTTGGCTGTTTCTCACAGATTCAAACCCAGCATAGGCTGGGAAACATTCCAGCATGGCTCTCTGGAAGCACCACCAGTTGGCTGACCCATCAACCCTGCAACGTCCTGTTCTAGGCAGGGCTGAGGTGTGGAGGTGTCAAGAGGAAAAGTCTGGTCTCATATCCAGGTCCAAAGGCCAAGGGATGGCTACAGGGTCTGCTCTCCGAGAGGAAGAGCCTAGAAAATGAGGAGGCCACTGCTACTCTGTGCCATAGGGTGTGGACTGCAGATACAGTAGCAAGGCCTGGGTGTGGTGTGTCAGTCACTAACCACAGGTTGCTGAAGGACACACGGGACAAACGTATGTAAGTACCCCTAGGTGTTATGCAATAACAGTGGGCAGAGATTTTGACAGATCTAAAGGGGAAGTCAGAGTGGCCACAGGCCGGAGAGATAGCCCAGGGTAAAAGATCTCGCCACCTGAGTTTGATCCCCAGGTTCACATGGTAGAAAGAGCAAATAGGCTAGCACGGTGGTGCACGCCTCTAGTTCCAGAACTCAAGAGGCAGAGGCAGGAGGATCTTTGTGAGTTCAAGGCCAGACTGGTCTACATAGAAAGTTGCAGGACAGCCAAAACTACACAGAGAGACACACAATAAATAAATGTACTGAAATTTTACATGTGCTATGCTGCGTGTGCTTTTTCTCTCTCTGTGTATGTGCATGTGTGTGTGCATGTTTGAGTAGAACACAGACATCCCCACACCCTGAAAAAGCCATCAAGTCGTCTAATGTATGGGTGCAGGAATGTAGAGGGCTGTGTCCCCCAGAAAGGCTCATGGCTGGGCTACTGCTAACCAGATCACTCTGCCTGTGGCCCATGCTGAATGCTACAGGTGAGGAGGTGACACTGCTCCTCTGTGCAAAGTCCCAAGTGGATTTGAACAGAACCTGTGCCTAAAAGCTGCCACCTAAGGAAGGTCAAAGTCCCCCACACCAACAGGTGTATGGGCTAACTACAGCCCTTCCCTAAATTATCTGTGCTAAGTGAGGGGTCCCACCCCAGGTCCTCATCCATTCAGTGGGCCGTAAGTTATGTCCGAGGCTCCGACAGCAATCATCAGCCCCTCCCCACTGGGGAATCAGGCCCTAAAGGTCCAGGATGAGAGGGCCAGCAGACATTGGAGAGCCCTCAGTGGCTACTGGTCATTTCTGTGTATAGTGTCACCAATAGGGATACAGATTGAGATCCCACAAGTGTTCCTCTCTGGGAAGGCTCTGATTGTCCCCACACCCAAGGACAGTCTCCACAAGCTCTAGGCCCACCTTCACTCCTGACAGGCTTCCAGCCACACCAGGCTGGGGGAAGGGAGAGGTCAGTCTGGGAACTGAGTCCCCACAGTGAGGGAATAAGGAATGGAAAGGGACAGAATGCTTGCAGGGGAGGGGGTTCTATGCAGGGTACAGAGACGAGGCTGGAGAGGTTGCTGAGAGTCAGGGTTGAGTGGAGAGGATCAACGCGCCCTGAGGAACCACAGGACCTCTGAGCCACCCTCACCACCCCCAGTCACAGACTGAAGCACATGACACAGAAGATGAGGAGTGTCCCCAAAGGACTAGTCCTGGGCCCTTTCTGTCTCCCTTTCCTGAGCCCCTACCAGGTTCAAACAGCCAAACAGTCCACAGAGAACAAGACGGGCTTTACCAGCCTCTCAGCTCTGCTTCCTGTTCCTCATACCATCACAGCTCTTACCTCTTCCTGGATAGTATAAAAATCACACACACACACACACACACACACACACACTCTACTGCTTAAGACTCTCACTGCCTGCAGGTAAGCCCCTCCTCACCACAGATGACACACATGCCCATGCTGTAGTTGCTGTACAATGAAGCAGGTAATGACCTTCCCTCCTTCCCACAGACCTCTGAGCATCCTTGTAAGGTGTGTGGCAGGGGGCTCCCTGCAGAGAGCATTCTTTACACATTAATTTTAGCAGTAATGTATCCCTCAAAGCAGCCATTTACCCAATGCATGTAGATAAATTGTCACACTAAAGCAGAGTCCATCCAGGATATGTGTCCTTGGGAAGCTGATGAGATGTCTTTGTGGGTGAAGGTGCTTGCTGGTCAAGCCTGATGACCTGAGTTTGATCCCCCAGAACTTGCATGGTAGGACAGAACTAAC